ATTTCAATCTTCAAAAACAACGTTCCCTGTGTGTGCCTGGTAACCACTATGAAACAGTTTTTACAAGTGAGACGAGGAGAGGAGCTACTGAGGAGTCTCCTCTATTTGTGGAAGACAATGGTTCTGTACTCTCACGTGATCGCTTCATTACTTATCTGAGACATCTGTTGACATTATTGGGTATAGAGAGTACCAAATATAATGGACATTCATTTAGAATAGGTGAAGCCACTTCCGCGGCTGCAGTAGGTGTTGAAGACCACATGATACAAACTTTAGGTCGTTGGTCTTCCAATTGTTACTCTCGGTACATTCGAACATCTCAAGCGACCCTGCATGAAGCCCAAACACGGATGTCATATAGTTAAAAGGTTCTGTCTATTTTAAAACTTGTATATATAGGTACACACAAGATTTATATATATATAAATGCATTAAATAATAATTCTTATAACAATTGGTCTTTTTGGGGTCTCTCTTCAAGAAACAACATTGGAAACACATTCAATAAATTCAACAAACTGAATTTTACCCCCAATTCAGACAAATTAGTATTTCTCTGTATCCAGTGATCAGACTATAAGTTGTTTTTACCGGGCTCCCCCTAATTACAACATTGGACCGGTAGACTAACAGATGATTATCTACAGGCTCCATTAAGGATACACTAATATTAATTACTCTTATTAAATTATGATATCATTTCATCTATCAGCTTATGTAATATATTGATGTATCCTGTGAACGCCCGCAGGCTATAGGCTGTCTTTGCCGGGGCCCAAAGCCTTCCTCACAGTGTTGTGTCTTTTGTAACTTTAAAGACAATACTGTATGAACTTTTCCAATCTATATTTCTAAACTTTTCTTTCAATACCCATTTTCTTTCAGCTGTTTTCACTAATTTAATTTTACTATTTAATATGTCATACATGTCTTTACAACCTTTCTTTTTCTTTATGATAATTTACAGATGACTTCGTATGAAGTGCCTCTCCAAAGTTGTTTCTGCAGTTGAGTTATAATTTAATTGTTTACAACATTGCCTAATAGACTGGCATATACTATGCTAAGTCAAGTAGTTTCCAGAGTTGATATTGTGTTTAAGTTTAAAGTTAAAAAAACGTTATTTTGCTCTAATAGATCACAAACAGTTTTAACACCCCAATCAAACCATTTTCGGACAAAAAAAGACTTTTTGCTAATACCAAAAAGTGGGTTATACCAGATAGGGAGAGTTAAGAACTGCTTAATAGATTTTATTTGTGTTACTTCTGAAACATTTACCCCTGACTTAAAAACATCCTTCCAAAACATATTACTAGTCTTAAATCTTTTAATAAAATAAAATCCCATATCTGATATATTTTTTACTGGAAAGTGCTCTGCTTCAAAAATATGTATCCAGCTTGTACCATTATTTTTCAGTAATCTTCGTATCCAAGTGGACTTCAAACTAGAAATGAAATTATTGATATTAATCATTTTAAGGCCTCCACTTTCATACTTTTGGATTATAGTATTTCGTTTAATTTTGTCAACAGAAGATTGCCAAATGAAGTTAAAAAATATTGTGTTCCGCTGCTGAATAAAAGCGATGGTTGGTGTAGGAATTGCAATGAACAGATGATTAAGTTTTGGTATAATTGTTGATTTCAATGTTTGAACTTTGATCATCAGTTAATTTAACATACATTTGTACTTTGGACCATTTAACAAATTATTTGGATTAACATTTTCTATGTTATCAGAGTGGTCACGATCATCATATAGCTGTTTGTAAAAAAATCACTGTTTCTGCAAGAATATCATATTGACTTGTTAAAACTTCACCATTATCTTTTTCAATTTTAACTATAGAAATAAAAATATTTTGATGTTTTTTCGCCCTGATCTAGCCAAGTTACCTTTGAACGAATCATGTGTCCTTTCATTTTATCTATTCTAATATTTTCTAACTCCATCTTCTTTTCTTCATATGCCTTCAAATTTGATGCCCATGTATTGTTACCTTCAAGTTGTTCTAAATCATATGACAATTCTTTTTCTCTCTTATCCCTGTCATTTTTTCTAAATGATGGATATGCTATGGTAATTCCTCTTATCTTCAGTAACAATGTTTCTAAAAATAATTGATCATTAATACATAGTACAAGTTCTGATTACTACTTTTACATATGTTACCCTAAATTGTTTTCGTCCGGAAGTAGCCGTCCTAAGGGGAAACAGGAAGTATACCCTTGAACCAAGAACAAATATGTTCAATATGGTTTATGTACTATTTTTATGTGTATCTGTTTGTAGTGCGAGTTTATGTATAGACAATATAAGTAACAACTACAGTATAACAGTATCCGTACTTTTCTTTTCTGGTTATATTACTTTTATTTCATCATGTCGTTCATCTTTTAAACACCAGAGAGAAATGATAATAGTAAATTCATTATAATATGTCAAATAACATCAAAATAGCATCTGCAAACTGTAGAGGATTAGGGCAAAAAGAAAAGAGAAACGATGTTTTTAACTACATAAAAAATAACTATAAAGATTTTGTTATCTTATTATCCTGTCAGAGGTGGAAACAGGATGAGCAAACACAAGACTTCTCACAAAACATATATATATATATATATATATATATCTTTATTTCTTGCAATAGACATTATTGTCTTAGTGCTACATACATTCACAATATTTGCAATATGGTAGTGGTACAAAATAAGTTCTGACAAGGCACAACAGACCGGCTCAATACAATATTTACATAGTAAACACAATATGTACATAGTAAATACAATCTGTACATATTATTTTCACAGGGTAACAACAGCATTAAGTGTTACATCATTGTTAGCGAAGGATACACTGACATATCATTATGTAATAATTTAATAACGCTCAATTTCTAATTTTTTTTATAAATATACATTGCTAAATTTTGAAAAAATAGTTTTGTTCTCTGATGAAATAAGATCTACAAATCTTTCCATATTTAGTCGGTCTCCTGTATAAATATATTGACCTTATTTCAGAGTATAATGGACATTCCATAATAAAATAGTATTTATTCTCAACTTGAGGACATGTTGTACAGAACAACAAATCTGGAGGTATGGGATTAGGTATATGCCATCCTCCTGCCTCTTTATTTAATCTGTGGTAGCAGAGTACAGCAGAAATGGCTTGATCCTAAAAATAAAGGGCATGTCTCGGATAAACATGGATAGCGGATTCATCCTGCACAACACACCTACATATATATAAATATTTATAAACCACATTTTGAACATTTTTTTTTAGAAGATTTTTTTTTTTTTCAAAAAGTGACTTCCCCAGATTTAGGACTTGTGAAAACCATGGTTACCACATCAAAAAACGCCAAAAAATGCAAAATAAACATGATTTGTGACCCAAAATTTGACCCACGCAAGTAGTATTTTTTTTCTTAAAACCTGTCTTAAATTAAATATCACCTACTGGGTAACAGAAATACTCACGTTATAGCATAGGTCGTTCAACTTGATTTTTCACAATATTTACACATGTGCGGAGTATAAAAATAGACTACATGAAAAGCTAGGTTTTGTTTTGTAGATACAGATTTGTGTAAATGGGAAAAAAACGCAGTCTCAAGCCAAATTCGTACAGGGGTTATTCATTGAGCAAAAATATCACCCATGGCCACCGTACGCTACTGTATACTGCTACCTGTGTGAAGATACCCGTAGACAAGTTTAACAATTTTGAAACTTTTTGATATTAACCATATCAAGATACTTGTAACCAAAATCGTGGGAAAACATTACATAACATCTTGCTCTGAGCTATTCGACAAGTGCGCTAAGCCAATCTTGTATGAAAATATCCCTTAAATGTCACCAACACCTTGTTCAAGCCATACATAACCGAAACTATGAGTACATAAGAAGTTTTATCTAACTTATCCGCCTATGTGTATAGAACACTATAGACAGATTTAACAAGTACACTTTTCTGGTTGCGAACAATTTTCGACCAATAATTATTTTTTTTGTATATCTTGTGTTAAGAAGACTTAAGAGGCGTACATCCGAGTTCCCCATAAATGAAATTATTTTGGGAAGACGACTTTAACCCTAATAAACGCTTAAACAATTTTAAATGCATTTTTTCAATCGCAATTGCAGAAATAAATTCCCTCACCTCGCATCCGTAACACAACACACGACAGACTAACTTATCAAATAAGCCATACACATGCTTAGGGTATAAATTAATAAATTTTGCAAATACTTTCTAACTGAAATAACGATAGCTTCAGAAAATGACCCTTTTGATATGAAAACAACACCCAAAAATGACAATTTTGTAACAATCTCCTTGTCCTCGCTGAGATAAAATCTTAAATTATCTGGTAATCTACCTGCCTTCTAAATACCATGACTATAGATTTATCAAAATTAACATATGTGGTCGACAAAGGCAGAAGTTAGAATAACTGTGGTGCGCAGGGGCGCTACAATGATTATTACATTTTACGGACTAGATTCATTAAAACGAAATTTGTATATAGCGGAACGCAACTATAATATATATTGTTACAACAAATTGAAAGGAAAATAACTCTTCGCGCACGCATGTGCTACCATAAAAGAGATTCGCTCGGGCGCCTTCGGTGCCCAAAACCTACGCTCTTACTAATTAAGGTTTTATGAAATTGGACTACACAATGTTGAGGAGTCAACGTGTTTACCGTGTGAAGTGATACGAAAAGGTGCCAATTCAAGGTTCTAAGCAGTGAAACAATATGTTTCATGTCGTCAATGTAGCTAGAATATGATGGATTTATTGAACAATCTCTAGTGCGTTTATATTAAGTCATGTTATTCGAGTACAAATACGTATGTTTGGTTATTTTTTGTATGTACATTTCAACATTCTTCAATGAACAAAAACGGTATCTTTAATAAGGCTGCTTACAAACAGAATAAAACAAATAACATTCAATAGTTTGTATCCAGTGTTTATTACGTTACGTAAAAAGGTATTCTCAAATAAACACATGTTTCATATTAACTTATTTAGGTAATTTAAGAAATGGTCTAGCTCACTTATGAGATCATATTTTAACAGGGGAAAATATCCGCTTGAATCAGATGTATCTCTAAATAAGAGATTTGGTCCCTAGAAGTATTGTAGTTGAATGTCACTACAGACTGTACATTTTCCTTACTAACTACAATAGACCGACAGGTCCGTTGTGAAATCATGTCATCATGTTTGTCTGCATAAACAATCGTGTCAAAAATATGATGCATGTGTGCTCATTTCCAATATTATAATTCAACGTTGGTGCCAAGAATGAACGATTTCTTCATTAAGTCAAGCGACACTTGTTTTAACAATCACGATATTGCTTCTTCAAGGGTTCTTCCACACAATACAATATGTCGAAATCGAACACATCCGACGCTATCATTTTGTAGCGTTCGACTGCTGAAAGGATGGTGCTGCGGTCATTTATTTCGCTCTCACAAAATATAACTAAGTACACGGTTTCAAGTTTAAACTTCCTACATGTTCTCAAATGTTCTGTCAAATGACGCATAAAACTTTGCTCTGAGATGCATCCATAGATATCAAGGCTAAAACGAATTCCAGCGGGCGACACATAAGCGACTCCAAACGTTAGGAGTTGAGGTTCATGTACTCCAGTTTGGAAGCCACTTCCGAAAACGTTGCAGTGCTCATTAAAGAAGTGGTCTACGTTGGATTCAAGTAAGCGGTAAGGAACCCAGTCAACAATAAGCCGACCTTTCGGAAACAACAGTTTGCATGTTGTTTTTGAACGCAGAATTTCTTTTAAATCCGTTCTCTGTAATTGTTTGACAGTTGTGTCTTTATTTGGCGGAAGAATGTCAAAAACTAATTTCGAACTTCCCTTGAAAACCATTAAAGGCTGCAAAAAGGAAAAATGTTAATATTTATTTGATAAATGTCATTTTAGACTTAAATAATACTACATCTATAAGTATCGAATTTTCAGAGAAATCTACATTTTTTGAAAGAGATTATTACGTCAGGATTATCTTTACATTTTTTGAGAGATATTATAACGTCAGGATTATCTTTACATTTTTTGAGAGATATTATTACGTCAGTATATTTGGATAATGAATAAATAATGATAACAACCAGACTCTTTGATGTTTTATATATAATAAGAAGGTTCCAGGTAAAATAATTTGGACTGGTATTTAAACGATGGCCCTCGACCATTTCTTTATCATACCTTGTATCAACCCGCATACTGCCTATCAACCAGATGGACAAGAAACACCAGGGCTAATATGAGTTGACCGTTGATACAGATGTATGAGGCAAGATATCGAAATGGTCATATCATAATATTTTTTATCATGAACTACAAGTATTTTAGTATAAAATAAACATTATTCATCAATAGTACAAAGCAAGCGTAATGTAAGGCTTGAAATATATGTGATATGTATATAAACATTACCTACCTTCTGAAGAATAAAATCTGCCTTACCATCCTCGACCCTCTTCAGAAGACTTTTCATGCCGAAGGTATATGCTCTGCGCTTCAACTCTATATCGTGTTCATGTTGTTTATCAATGAATGCCTTCAGCATCCGTATCAAGCCTCTTCCTTCGTACGCAGTGCTAACACGTAAAGCTCTAGGAACCATTGTTGCACCTTCGTCGACAAAGGTAACAGCTTCAAATGCTACCTGAAATATAAATCAAAGTACTGAAACTCTAAACCTGCTTTACTTTATCATAAAATATTTACCATGGCCGGAAAACAGTTTTGGGATCATATGAAAAGGAAGAAGGCAAGGAATACTGCATACCGGAATTTTTTCGCCCAGTCAAACAGTCACCCTTTGCCCATGAAATCAATTTTCGCCCAGTCAAACTTTCACCCTTTGCCCATGAAATCTATGTTCGCCCAGTGTTAATTCGCCCTACTTATCGTTTCACTATGTTTATATTGCTGTTAACTTATATTCACTGTGATGATAAATTCGCCCTCATTACGGAGAACGGAAATGCGAAAATTAAACCGCAGCGAAAATTTCCTGGTTTACAGTATGTCAACAAAGAGGATAAGCATTGGAAGGCATTACAAAGACAACGGTTCTCGATCGAAAAGTCGTTTCTCAAAGACCTTGTGCATAGCATGGTAAAATATGCTATCGGCCTGTCATCAAATGCAAAGGTGGACTTAATCAATTTATGTTTTGTAATTGTAATCAGTTAATTTCGGGTTAAAAATAGTGCCATTAATTTTGTTCGATTATTTTTCTAAATATGACATTTTGAATGAGATTATACATGTAATGCTTCCTTAAATATAGAAATCGTTAATTATGTATATTACAAGGTGGAAAATGTATACCATAGTTAACTTAGAAAAAAATCCCGATTTTTTGCATATCATATTCACGAAGGTATTTTTTTTAGTTATACAGAACGGAAAAAAATATGTGTCAGATTTATAATAATTGTATGATCTTGCTACCTAAAAGGAACTTGATAAGTAACTACTATATGCTTTTACCATTCCCGTGTACAATTGTGTACTTGAATATATTTTTGTGTCTTTGAATAAATTATTAGTCAAGGTGATTTTAACTGGTATGATCATGCATTTATTACTTATATGTACAAATAAAGTTTGATAAGATTTTGAAAGACAATGCATGAAAACAACCGTGCTAGATTAGTACGTAAGAGTGAAAAAGAAACAGATTTCTTTTAAATTGGTGTTAAAACGGAGAGCCAGAAAAATACAACATGTATATGCCATATATGCCATATCCAAATTCTTTCAATATTTTTTTATTTATTTTTTATCATTTTATAACAGTTTAAATATGAAAGTCAACTAAATTTATCTTACAGTGCAACTTTTGGGGAAATGTTGTTGCATTACAGTGACATTATTGTTTAATATATACAGGTTTGTTCGTACTTGGTATTAGATATGACTGTGAGGAAAAGCCATGTTTAAATATTTTTAACAGAAAGTAATAAATGAATACAATTTCCTGTACTTGAATTAAAGTGATAGACAGTTGGACCGCCACGTGTCCGTTTAAACAATACCACATTGAACAGAAAAAAGCTATTTGTAATAGATACATCAGACTCCGTTAAATGATAAAATTTAGGAAAAAGCACCATTAAACTTACTAGTTTTCCACTGCACAATGCTGCATAACCGATGTGATTGGTCATCATTGTTTTGTAAAGACCTGGTAGAAAATCCAGTTGTCCGTAAATGCCTTTTCTTATCGCAATAACATCGTCAAAGTCTTCCAAGTACACCCTCTTCATTTCTATATTTTCCATATGGATGTTATATATGCCTACGTTCTGATCGTGTTAGGTCCGTGAATCTCTCACCAACGAGTAAATTTGACATGGATAGCATTGATGTATGCATATACATAAACAGCGTTCGTGTAAGAAACGTGTGCAGAACATCCACGTACAATACATAATGGGTTAATAGGTAACACTTGACAGTCATTTGCTCCTACATAACATAAATCTATCAATCAAGTTGACCTGACCTGACCAGGGCATCCGGCAGTAGCTGACCTAGAGTGTTCTAACATCATTAGGAGGCACGGTAGTCTAGTGGTAGGACGCCGGGCTCGTGACCGAAAGGTTGTGGGTTACAAGATACTGTACTCCGCTTGTTCCAGTCTACTCAAGTTCAAGTTCAAGTTCTTTATTAACTTTGAGTCTTGCGACTCATCAGTGTAACACATATACATGATATATATATATATATATATATACTTTCTCATAACATTGACAAATATCGAAAATACTAATAAATACACAGACGAGACAAAACACTCGGAGAGCATAACTACTTATGTTAATAAAGCTCTTCTTGAATTTGCAGCTTTAATGTATTTGGCCAATTTTGCTAATTCATTTGTGTTTTGTCCGTTAAATAACTGAATTAATTTAAACATGCTCGGTTTTTTACAATAGTACTTTTTTAAAAATTTCTCACGTAAATCAGAATAACAGGGGCATTTAAGAATAAAATGAAATTCATCTTCGACATCATCTATATCACAAGCGGTACAGATTCTTAAAAGTCGCGGAATATTTTGATAACGACCTTTCTCTACATTTAAATTATGGGCTGAAAGCCGAATTTTTGTTATTTCTTTTAAGTAACCTTTCATAAACGATTTTCTTAAATAACCCTGTATACCAACTTCTTTGTTAAGACATGTATAAAAAAATCCTTTTGATGATGTTCTAATTTGTTCTATACAATCTTGTCTATAAATATCTAAAAGTCTTTCTTTAATTATAATCAAACAGCTATTATCAATGTTATCTGTTTGCCATATGTAACCTAGACCTATTCTATATAATTCATTCTTGATATTAATTACCCATTTGTCGTTACGCACTAACATGTCTTCATAACATGATTTTAAAATGCAATTATCGGTATTTATAATCTTTATCCAATACTTAAAAATTCTGAATTTCCTCAGCAGTGATAATGGATATCTACCAAGCTCTAAATAGACCATAGCATTACAAGTATTTTTACGCACACCGAGTAATTTTTTACAAAACATAATATGTATTTTTTCAACATCCGGGGCTTTATGAAAACCCCATATTTCTGAACCGTAACACAAAATACTGTTTACATATGTATCAAATACTGATAGTTGGGTTTCAATATTAAAATAATTATTACGACATACATTCATAACTGAAAATAAAGCTTTCCTTCCTTGATCTGCTATTTTTTGCTGTGTTTTTCTGAAAGTGCCGTTGTAATTTAACAACATACCTAGATAATTAAATTCATTTACGATTTCCAAAGGACATCCGTTATATGTCCAATTTTCATTGTTTCTTAAAATACCACCATTTCTAAAAACCAGCACTTTTGTTTTATCTGTATTGAACGTTAGATCCCACTTTTTTTGTAAAACTCAGCTGTTAATGAGAACGTGGTTGGGCAGTGCTAGAATTGTTGAATGCTAGCGCTAGCTGTGAGCGCCGAAACGGCAGCAACGGCTGTATGCTCCCAAAGGAGTTGAGAAATACATGGCTGGTTACAAAGGCCCTATAACCACAGATAATATTTTGTAAACCGCTTATATGATTATATTATTTTTATTATTATTATTACAAGCTAACCGGTAATAAGATTTATATATAAATATATATATATTAAATGCTGCCGTGATTATCCTCCATAATTATGTTTATTGAAGATTTAAAAGAAACTGTGGTTAGGAATACATGTAGCAAACACTAGTGAAAGCAAGTGTTTTCTTTTATAAAAGCACAGGGCAAAGTCTTGAGTGTAATCAGCCTAACAGAAATCAAAGTATAAGTAATGCATTTTNGCAAAGTCTTGAGTGTAATCAGCCTAACAGAAATCAAAGTATAAGTCATTATCTTGTCATTATCTATCCAGCCTGTAACATCTCATCTTTGCTAGGCAAGCGTTCATTTTGTACTTATATATTCATGTATTCAACCTTAGCGGATTTAGCCTTGTTCTCTAAGCTTTCAAATTATTGAACCTGGCACAGGGACTTGGCACGAAATACCATCTTATGGTCCACATATTTTTTTATATCATACATTATATAATACACAGATATGTGAACTGAGGGTTAGAAATTAATACCCAAGTCCCTGTGCATGTAAATAATAATGGCGACGCCCAGTACCAAGTTGCCTTGTCGACTATGTCATGATTTATGTCAAAAACCAAAGGAGGACAATACTTTAAGAAACATTTTCTGTATTTGATCAGTTGGTAGAGATAATTGGCCATATTCTAACTGCTAGTAAAGTGTCTCTGCTAGGTTGTAGTGGAGGGAAATTAAACACAAGGCTAAATCCGCCAAGGTTGAATAGTACAAATTTCAATTATGAACCCTTGGCTATTGAAGATGGTGAGATAACGAGGTTTGATTGTAAAAAGAAGATGTGTCTTCAGCAGTATGCTCCAGTGAAATTGCACTATAAAGTCAGCATCAGTCCTGCGCTATCACAAGGAGACAAACATGAACAAACCACAGACTCCCAAAACACAAATTAATTATGTACAAACTCACCACACGCATGCATCTCGCATATGGGGGAGGCTGTCCTTAAATGACCATGTATAGCTGTTGATAGGACGTACATTAAACAATAGCAAACCAAACCTGAAGTTTATTTTGACATAAAGATCTTATATATTTGGATAATTTCATGGAAATGATGACTTGTAATTTTAAACAAATGATTTGTTAATTTCAGCTTGGATGCACTGTATGCATGTTATTTAATAACATTGTACCCATTTTATGCTCTATTACCTGACCTGGAATCCATTCGTAGCCATACCGAGACAATACAATACTCAAAACGTCTCCCAATATTAACGGTACCAAACCCGTGCTCCAGGTTACAAATAAACGCTATGTTTCAAAAAAACAAATTTTATTACAGCAGTATCCAGAGGGCTGTTAGGTAGGGGTTGTCCCAATCACCTGCCCTCTGGACTGCTTTTCAAGTTTTACTAAGTAAGTTTTAGTGCCAAATTTTGTACAGCATGATTATTTAGCCTCTTTATCCTAATCCTTCCAACGTAGGTATCTTATGATAAAATTTGTTGTTTGGATGTGATAGCAATGGATTAAACGAGTGTTACCTTGTGTTGTATTCTAACACATCAGTGTCTCAATACATACGGTATTAATCTGTTAATGTTCGATAATCGTCTGTTTTGTATTACCGTCCCGAGTTTGTCGTGAGTTATTTCCGGGTCACGTTCTCTTATCACGTGCGCTTCCGGTAACGTCAAAAAAAAATCAATACATAATGTCACAAAATCTTGATATTTATTAATTTAAGATAGGTTAAAGAATAAACGAGTTAACAATAACAATATCAATACATTGTAAATATTATTTCTTGAATGTTTGCGAAGCAGACGACGTTTGATCTTAATCTCGAAACAAGAACATTTTTCCAAAAAAATGTGTTTAAACATTTGAAAAAAAAAAATTGAAGGGGAAAAAATCAATTTGTATTTTATAAAATTAATGAAAGTGATACAGAAAAGAAATTTAGTAAACAATTGATATTACTTTATCAAAAACATCATCCTTAGAAAGTATGTTCTGGACATGACCGTTTAGAAGCTTTGCAATACTTCAACCGCGCATCAGCTCGAGATTAGGTCCTGTTTGCAAAATGGCGACTGGAAGTAGCAAGGCGGATTAGATTGGAACTTTCCTATTGTGCATATTTCGGCAAGTAAACCTTGTAAAAGAGCCCGCGTGGTCAGATCATTTAATTTAGTCAAGATGTACTCAGATCAGTCGTTGTTTAGTCGCTACAGTCATTAACATAAAATTCGGATTATTATATAAATCTTATTTTATAATTATTAATAACAATATTAACCAATTACAGGAGTGGTTAAGGATCCCTGTCCCGCTGTATTATGTTTTTTGTATAAACAGTAATCTCCTCTGAGTTTCGTTTTGTATATAGCTGTGGCACAGTATTGACAAGACACTTCCAGGTTGACCAGGTAGCTCAGTCGGTTAGAATGACAGGTTTCGCAAGGTATTTTATCGTCATGTCGGAATAACAGTCCCCAATGCATAGTTACATGTTTGGTAGTGGTACGGGGTTCCTTAACTGTTGTGAGAGTGCTACACGTTTCGGTAACAAGTCGATTAGGAAGTAAAATGTCCCGAAACGACTTTCTTCTTGTTTTAGAAACGACTTGACACCCAGTTGTAATACACCGACAACATTTGAAGCTTATTTTATACAAATGCCTCTCACCGGCAGCTTACGATTGCGCTGTAACAAGGTGCTTACCTCAGTTTGGATTTCGAGTTCAGTATCTCGGGTGAATAAATATATTTATGATTCTAAGATAATAACCCTACCGCCACATTGTAAAGACACCGGAATATCACTGGGTCATGTGACTGCCTTCAAACAATCACGTTATTAGATTCTCATTTTTTGTATAATAATGTATTCCCATCGCTGCTTACGTTATTGACTGTTTAGTTATTACAAAAACCTGTATGTTAAACAATCGCAGATGACTAGACATATTGTTAAAGAAGTAACCAGAAAATACAGCTGTAGCTGCAATATCATAAAATGTGTTAATAACGACATTATATATTGCTATATTTTGCTTTTTTAAGACAAATATAACCAATTTATAATATATAATGTAATTTGCAATAATGTTAAGTTGCGACCATGCTGACATGTACTGAATATATACGGATAAGTTAATGTCTTCCTTTTAACAAGATGTATTTATTATTTCAAACAAATACTGTAAAGAAACTAACATTATATATGTAATTGTGGGGAAACAGGTTGCTTGCCTTAGTGTGTGTGGTACTGTTTTCCTTGTGTATCCGTTTATTGCCATCCTAGTGTAACAAAATGTATTGCACGGCTATTCTATCGGCATGTAGCTTTACATGGGTGTTTACTTTTGAGACGAAAGGATGTTGGGGAGTTGTCGGAAGAGGTTCCGAGCTCACTGCTCATGCATCTTAGATTAAGCCAATTAGAATGAGTTTCCGATACAGGTTACATAGGGCTAGGAGGCTGTGGTATAAAGGGGATGCACGGGATAAATTAGGGACTTGCATAGCCGGAAAGCCGGCCATACATTTCTGTACCTGGAGGGGAAAACATCTCCACCCAGGCGCTGACGGCAGTGCTACCCATGTACTGAAGGTAGTACGCCTACAGTGCCGTGCCAAAAGTGAAGATAATTTTCACGACGTCATTTTACTTCCGGGTTACTTATTTTTATTAAAAGGGGCATTTCTCAGAAAGTATGTAAGGGTTATGTCCCTTCTTCAACACATTTACTCAAGCGATGCTATGCAAAGTGTCATAGGTCACCGGAAGTGATTGGTCGTCTGCGAAATAAACAGTCGTCTGTTGTAAACAGATGCCGCCCAAACGGAGAGAACTGTTTCTATCAGAGAAAAGTGTCATCAAATCTTTGTACGAATCAGGAAGAAAGCCTGAACAAACAGGACACCATCTTTCAATAATTTATGGCAATTTGCGACGTATTCGTGAAGAAGGATCGATTGAAAACAGAGAGAGAAGTGATCGACCCTCCAAGCTCACTGAACGGCATTCTCGTAAACTTTGTGGTATCGCTAAATCAAACAGCAGGAGATATCTGGGTGAAATTACTAATATTTGTAATGAGTTTAGTACTGAAGCCATATCGAAACGTTCTGTGCAAAAAACAGTATACGGGGCAAATTTTAATAAGCGTGTTGTGAAAAAGGAAATCAGAATTTGCAAAGTTAAATTTTAAAACACGTCGCGCTTGGTGTAAACTAAATAGATATCAACCTGTTGATGACTACTGGAAAAACGTAATATTTAGTGATGAGTGTAAGGTTGATCGGACATGGACAACCGTGTTTTGGTATGGCGACAGCTCGGTGAAGAATGAACCCCCCTGTGTCTGAACTCAGGACGTGGACAATGACTGTCTTTGATGATATGGGGTTGTATAACCTACAGAGGGGTAGGTACTTTAACTGTTGTAGATGGTAACATAAATGGTGAAATATACATAGACATTGTTGACAACTTTGTGTGACCTGTTATAGCACGACATTCCCCAAATAACGACTGTGATGTTTCAAGATGACAACGCTCCGGTACATCGTGCTCGTGTTGTGAAAAATAATATTGAGGAAAATAGACTCAATGTCATGGAATGGCCAGCCCAGAGTCCAGACCTTAATATAATTGAAAATGTTTGGAGAAAAATTAAGATTGAACTTCAGAAATAAGCCCACAACATTGCCTCTCGTGCAATTATGGAGCCTGGATGCAATTCGCACAATATGGACAAAAATATCCCTGGAATTCACCCAAAAACTGTACAAATCAATCCCAAAGCGCATGAAAAGAGTAATCAAAGCCAAAAGATGTATCGCAAAGTATTATGGAAGTTTAAGTCATGATAATTACGTAGCAAATGACTTTTAATTTCTGAGGTGTCAAGCTGACAAAAATGGCAGCCATCTTGGATTTATCTTCACTTTTGGCAGTTCTACGTTAGGATAAGTTTACGGTTTGTTAGCTTAACGTATGCCAGTGTACTTGGAGGGTGGTTAATTAACTTTGAACAAGTTGTTGATTGGTTTATGTTTCGGATACTCCTCTAAATCTGACGGACCTGTGTCTGACTGTAGACGGGCGCAGCAGGAGATTCTTTAGTATTGCCGTGGGTCAGTTTGTCGGTAGTTTTTGAGGAAAATTAGATATTGCATTAACTATCTCTTAGTGAACCGAATCACCATATTTGTTTCGTGGTAGGTGAAAACTGATTGACTAAATGCTAGCTTAACGAAAATGACTTAATAAGATACTGTTTTGCGCTGAAACTGTTCTTCTATTGGCATAAGTAGTAAAGAAAGCTCGACACGTCTTTGATACCCCAAAAGATAATCTTAACGTTCCATCTTTTAAAAAAAAAATTGCTAAATGAAACAATGTTGCAACCTATCTTTTAAAGTAAATACCGTCAACAAAATGGATTATACTTTTTGTCTGAGTAGTTTCCATAAAAAGATAAAGGTAGCTATCGTGTTCTTGTTGAGAAAGAAATACAATCTACGGGGCCGGGGTTGATAATGTTGTGGTCATAAGTTAGATAAAACGAAGAGGACTCTACTTGAAGTCCTTGTGAAATCCATCTCTCGTTATCACATAAAATGTGTATGTGTCGTCGTAGCATGTCGTATTACACAACGACAGATGATTATAAAACAAAGAGGAATGGATTCACATTATATGTTGGTTGGTGACATAAAGAAGGTATATATTTCATTATTTTTTGACCCTACTTTGAGTATTTTTTATCGTAAAGATTCAATATACGATGTATATACTTATAAAGTACGTATTTACATAACCTCTAGTTGTATCCAGTGTTAACATCCAGATACTATTTTTGTCATTTCTAACATATTTTAAATGAAATGTCCTGTTGCAGTTTATTGGTTTAAATTCCATGGTATATTATGAAATTAAAACAATGATGAATCATGAGACGTTATCGAATCAAGATGGCGACGTCGCCGATTAGATGGTGGCTGGCTGATCTCTATATTTGTTTTGCAGTTTAGTTTATCAATGTTAGTTTCGCATTATATTTGGGACGAGGAGTTCGGCTTTGCTCAAGAACGAATCACCAAAATAAATACTTCAAGACAAAAGCATGTGCAATGACATGTTATTGAATATTTCTAAACAAATATATATGTTTTCACAAAGCATATGATATAATAGTTATGTGCTGTTCCTATGCTTTATACTTTTATCACAGGAGCACATTCTATTCACTGCAAAGGTGAAACGGATTTCCCTAAAGGCTATTTTTAGAAATATTTAACGAGAAACCGTTTTTTTTTAGTTTCTAAAAACGAGTCACGTGTACAGGAACCAGCCTATTAGTTTGCGTGAACTTATCAATTAATAATGAAGCATGTTTCTGCGAATACGTTTTCTGATGACCTAATGTGTTTGTTGCAGAATGAACCGCCTGTTATTAATTGTTACGTTGATGGTTGGCGCAGATTTCACCTACATAAATTGTTACACTAATGTCAGTAAGTATTATTCTATCCACCAGAATGCGTAATTACTATAATTATATACTAATATCTACCTACGCAAGATACACGCGTCCCATTGTCTATATAGTCGTTAGGAGATAAGCTTATTCTACATGGGTAGTCAACACGAGAGATTTGTGTTTTGTTTGCAAGTCGCAGTTGAGTCGGTATTCAAGGGCTTGCTCCCAATATTATCGATAGGTGTCGACTGCTGACGGACACACTTACAACGCCGTATCTATGACACTGTTATCATACTCAAGCATGGATTCATTCGTAAAACCAGCATTCTTGTAACTGATTTCAAGAAGATAGGCAAAGGTGTCAAGAGAGGCAGGTTTTTGGAGATTATGGACAAAGTTTGTGGTCGCTATCTAGCCTCATTCGGAATCATTATATTTCCTTCGAGGCATGTGAAGGTAGATAATTTTGATAGTGCTCACCAGGGGTCCATAGTGTTTCGTTGAAACTCACCCGGTTCTTACTAAACGTGACTTGGATTTGACCTAGAATTTCATGACGAGTGTTGCTGATGAAACAAATCATATTAGCCTATTTGTATTGATTTTCAGTTATAGTTACTAAATATAGAAAATTGGTCATCTAATGTACATTTCGAAAACAATTTCAGAACTAACGTCCCTGTCAGGACGATGTGTTCGCGCTGGACAACAGCTTATACTCAATTGTTCTCTACAAAGTGATGAAGAAACCAACGGAGAATTGTTTTTCAAAAGAGGAAAAACACGTATAATCAGCTCTAAACGCCGTCTGTTAACCGAAGGGATTACAACATCAAGCTTAACCGTACCGGAAGCGAACTCCGATGATCAAGGGACATACATATGCTGTAGAGATCAGTGTTCCAGACCAAATGAATTCGACATTGGTATATTTGAAATCGGAGGTGAGCAGATATTATAACAAAATGAATGTTAAATGAAATACTATTCATGCTTTGTAAATTGAGTCCATACCTTGTATAGATTATCTTGTAATTGGTAGTAGTTCAAAATACTCCTGAACCTGGTTGCTATCACCTATTGAGTTTTAAGAACATATGCATTAGCCATCAAAGAATGAATTGTAATGTTATCAGGACACATTATATTATCACTAAAACTTGTATATTGGTAAGCGAATATTGGTTACTTTCAAAGTTTACAATATCACGATATCATAAATGATTCAACTTATGGAGCAGATAAAATCCAAATAGACAACAAGTAGAAAGAATACATTCTTTAATGTTCCCTGAGATATTTTACTGATCTGAATACGATTATTAAAAGGCAAAAATCGATGTTAAATTAGCTTAATGTTACTGAAACAAATATTCTCTCTACAGAGAATTTCTTATATTTGAACTATCCATTCTTCTATCATCGTACAGATTAGCTAGGCAGTTGATATCTCGTTTAATTGATTGTAAATACTACACCATACTACGAATATAACAATTGCATATATAATAATGACATGCATCAAGCTTTACCGCTATCGCTGTTTATATTTAGATAATCCAAAAATGCAATAGATTGTATTTAGCGCTCATGAAATCTTAGCTGTTTTAAATGTGTAACTTATTTGTATGAGGATGTTGCAGAACAATATATATGTAGGTATGCAATAAATCAATATCAGCTTACAATTCCAGAGCTTGAGGTTAATAGTATACTGACTTAGTATATTGGTGTTTCATCCATATCTTGTGTTGGATTTTTGTATCACATTTGAATTTAAATTTTCTGTCATATTTTGACACTGTAGCATTCTTTTTCCGTTTGAAATATATTTTCAATTTGATTCAAAGTTTTTATTGCTGGCCCCAACAACAAGTAATCCTCTATATTTTTAAATTCATATTTAGGGGTTTTACGCACATTAAGACAATTAAGATATTCCAACTGTTTGGCCCTGAGCTTCGACGATAAGTCCTAAATAACAAAATAGCTGTATGACGCAGTGTTAATTATCTATAGCATACTGTATCTATTGCAAGATTATAAAGCTGCCATCACCTCTGTGAGTGTAACAAACAATACGGGTCATAGTGAAACATTGATAAAATATATATATTTTAATGATATTTCTGTAATATGACTGTGAATGGAAAATTAAAAACAACTCGGCTGAAATATATATATATATATATATATATTTCTACAGACATTCCTCCCGAGCCATTGTACTTCCATTGTATGATCAGCCTTTCTCGTGTCAACTGTTACTTCTTAATGCACGACTCATGCGTAGAATGGACGCTACGTTACCACCTGTCAGGGGAGGAGGATTTATTTTTTCAGTAAGTACTAATCTCTCAAACATATCAGTTTAACATCTAATATAATTAAATGCAGTATAACAGTGTTGGAACATATGTTCACGTAAGTATACTTTTATACCTTTTTTGTGTACGTATTGACAAACAACTGATTTTATTGGTCTGGTAAGGATTGGAATAAGTGTGATTTGTTAATTATGTTGTGAGTTTCTTTCTTGTCAGTGATAGTTAACTAATGTGTACGCAAAATTTTATTCGAATTTGATGATTGGGTTTGATATTGTTATGGTCGGGTGGCTGGGTGGTCGGCTGGTCGGCTGGCGCAGTGAGTGGTCGGGTGGTCGGGTGGCTAGGTGGTCGGCTGGTCGGCTGGCGCAGTGAGTGGTCGGCTGGTCGGCTGGCGCAGTGAGTGGTCGGGTGGTCGGCTGGTCGGCTAGCGCAGTGAGTGGTCGGCTGGCGCAGTGAGTGGTCAGGTGGCTGGGTGGTCGGCTGGTCGGCTGGCGCAGTGAGGGGTCGGGTGGCTGGGTGGTCGGGTGGTCGGGTGGTCGGCTGGTCGGCTGGCGCAGTGAGTGGTCAGGTGACGCAGTGGAAAGGGCACTCACCTTTTACCAAAACGGCCGGGGTTCCATTCCCCGATCGGACGTGAAAAGGTATTTGGTCACCTGCCCGAGCGCGGTACCTCGATATCATCCGACATTAAGACCCTTTGAGCGCTTCATCCGAGCCAACAAAAATGATTAATATGAGTTGATAATCTTGTTTTATAATTGTTGTAAAATAATGTATTTTTATTATTATCCTAATAACGGACACGTTCGCAATTGTAGAATTTTTACGAGAATTATTAATTGACTACAATCAATTGACTACATTAGTACAATATTTGTAATTGGTAATATATTTCGTAATTGTGTTATACAGCGGGAAATGCAGTAGTCGTTTGGGGAAATCACCACAATGCGTTGACGTTAATGACGAAGATCACAGTTACAGAAACGTAAGGAGTTACTGTTTTAGTTTTTTGGCACCTGACAGGTACCTTCTGTTTAAGTGCCATGTTTGTGTTTTACAAAATATGTTGTTCCAGGATCTGAATCCAGGATTCCTCAACCTTGACAGTTTCCTTATTTTTACTGCGGAAATAAAAACATTTATTGGACTTGAAAACATTTAGCCAACATAATTTCCATCAATAAAATAAAGTAGTATCCTTCTTGTTCGTCTGCATTGATATAGTACACTAATTATAATTTGTTATGTCCATAGCTAATGCGAAAGTGTCGTGATAGCCACAGGGAAGAGATCGAGACGACGTGTCCGCTATCAGACGCGGTACGAGATGAAGTGTACTGGGTACAGCTGGAGGGACGAAGCCCGTATGGAATGTCCTCATTCGCCTACAACGTCACCACCAATATAACCATCGGTATCGCCATCTTGATAATTTGTAGTAATATATATTGTAGGGAAAGGGCTTAATAAAAGTTGTGATACTTGTGCCCAACTCCCATTGTATATAAATTACAATGAAATATGTTTAAAACAAAACCATCGGTAGGCATATCGTTGCTGTAGCCTATAGTTAAAAACCATTGTATCCCTGTGTCTTTTATCGCGGAAAAATGTTATTATAAACATGTGATAAAAGTCTTGTTTGTATTCCCATATCAGCATCCGAGTTGATGAAACGTTTTACCCTCCAACCTGTGCCGAGACCAAGTTAACCGCCCTGGCCGATATGATTTCATTTTGGTCCACTTTCACGGATTTGGTTCTATGCTCACAATACTGCTGCAACAGTGTCAGATGTAAACAGCAGTGATGAGTAGTTAGTTAACAAACCAGCTTATGTTTATTTCCTTGTCATATGAAATAAAATAAAAATATATCGAATCATAAAGAAATGGGTATTTAAAGGTAATTTGATTTAAAGACAATTAATTGAATATTTTTATTCAGTTATGGGGGAGTTAATTTTTTGGTAATTTGTTTTGAATTTCAGATTAAAATGTTATAAATACATTGATTTCGTATTATTGATTTACCTTCGATATGATATCAGGGTCTAGAGATGGTAAAGGATAAAATGTAGAAACAGTCATCCATGTACCACATGCGATATATAAGCAAGAAACTCGTTTTTCATTGCTCAAAAGAACTACACTTCTGTTCCATAAGCTGGCATGTATTTTACTATTGTATTGTATAGTGCAATTTTTGTTGACTGAACCCAGTTTCTGTCATGACCATTGTTCTTTTTTTGCCTTACAGAACGATTAGGACCTTTACGGAACTTCAGAGTGGAGTCGACCACATCAACGTCGGTTACGTTAACCTGGTACTTTCCCAATAATCCTGCTCACTACAGTGAAGGGATATCCTGTAACATAATATACTACACAAACGATAACACAACACAGAACCAGACAAAGGTATCATAGCATATACATTAAACAGGTTTCGATTGTCATGAAGTTGATGTATAAAGTACTGTTTATCTTATTTAATGCTTCGCTGGGTTGTTTTTAATTACGAGTTCAAATGACACCGAATTCCATTAGTAAATGCAATTGTCTTAAATATAAGCTACGTCACAAACATATGATATTTATAAGAAGTATAACGTTCACCTATAGCTGTACGCTTACATGTAGTTTTAATGAGTATTGCATAATAACCCGACACCTTTAGAATCAAACAAATTGACTTGATAAGTCCGGGCTTAGACGACGTTTGCTTTATTTGGTATCTTTTAAAGAAAATGGTATAGATATATATATGTCGGATACGACAGAGTGTCGGAATCACATTGGTGGCTGATAAGGCATGTTTTTCTTTAAGTGGTAAAATAAGTGGTACAGCAATACCAAAATCATTAAGTGAACATCTTGTCTTAATTTACCAGCTCTGGAAGACTGGCAAAAACGTACGGTATTCTCTTAATAATTTGGAACCGTATCGAAACCACACTGTGGAAGTGAGCTGTCGTTTCAGTGCCAGCAGATATTGGTCCAAAAGTAGCAGTGTTAAGTGCACTACAGAACAGGACGGTAGGGTCAACCACCTTATAACCTAAAGTAACTTATTATGGTATCTATAAGATAACGTATTGTATTGTATACTGAACATGTTTAATTTTCGTTAGCCCTTTTCGCCGTAACGAGGGCGAATGTATCATGCCTGCACATATTTTTACACGTATATCGAGTACAAAAGAAATACTGGGCGAACATGGCTCTATCAGTGAAGGGCGAATATTTATCTAAGCCAAAGTTTTTCGGTTTATAAACCACTTGGATCTATTCTCTTCTAATAATAGCTATGAATGTAAAGGGAGTTTTAACTTACATTTTGAAGTTTCACAAATATCTGGATTGTGAACTACGCCTTTTTATCAATTGCTATCTCTTTAACATAGGTACTATTTAATTAACAGTTCCAATTTACGGACCTAATGCAACTCTGACGTCGTACACGGTCTACCAAAACATCAATAGAACCTACACAGTAACGCTATATATTAAGGTAAGTTCACATCGTATTCTTGTGTATTAACAGTCATGTCCGTTTCCTTCTCATTTGTATAGCAGAGAGATGATCAGTATTGAGGCAGCGTTTCCTAGGTAGTAATATCCAGTCCTAACCGTTCGACCGTACGCTCCTTCTATCTTCTGAGATGACCCTTTGACGCCAATAATTCACGCACATGTCTGCTTTTACGTACGCACTGCTGATTGATTATGTTCATTGTATATGTAGTACGTATTAATATATGGATGCAAATACATTACAGATGCAGTATTACATTGTTTTCCTGTTAATTGTACAGCCATTTGCAATGACATTTTCTAAGATTTTATTGAGAATTGCTTCTTTTAAAGACAGGATTGTGCTTATTTTGAGAGGGAGGGAGTTTAATCATTACCATGCGTTTTGGGATATGATGCATTTAAATAATAATAAAAAAAACACATCATATGTAGCATGCAAATACTTTAGTATAATAAGCAGCCTCGGTTTGAATCGCTTCGAAAACTTCCTGATGGGATATGAGCTACCCTGCAGCACATGGTTTTCGTTGCGTTGTAGAGCACAGATCTCCTTTCAAAGCAAGAGTTTTCGAGCGTTATCTTGCCTCGTCGTATCAACATACACACATTCAAAAGCATATAGTTTGACTTAATATAATTACATATATAATGCATCAAAACAAAATGCGGAACGATTTGTTATTATTTATGAACCTATTTAAAGAATTTTTCTTTTGATGTTTTTTTTTTGGGAAGTACACAATTTGTTAGCTACTGGACAATTCGTGTATATCTTTGACTGGTTAAATATTGGTAGAAATATTTAATGAAATAACTCGTACAATTCAATTTACGATATTCTATGCCCTTTAGCCTCCTCATGTGGACACAATCAACGGCATTTTGCAAGGGTATGAGCTCCAGCTGTTTTCCTTGCCAAACTCCAACGACAATGTGACCGTGTTGAGGTATGCAGTATCGTCCACTTTAATTATAGAGAACGTACCACCCGGCACCAAGGAGCTTTACACAAATATAACGTCACTAACAGTAGCTGGGAGGTCACGTAATAGTCTTCAGTTAAACATTAGTATGGAGCCAAATGAAGGTAAGGCCTACTTGACAACCATTCAGCATTAACATCATATGAAAGTATAGTATTTGGAGAATTTCTATTGTGACCAAACCAACTAGTTTCACAGAAAGATTGTTCACGTATGCTCAAAATATCAACATTAATGTAACCATTTTTCAATGTGTTTTTTTTTATATAATTATCTTAATGTCACATTGAATAAAGAGGTCTTAAATGTATAATTATACTCAGCTAATAAAGAAATAACAATAAAAATGAATAACATTAATTTACAGCCAATACTACTACACGTCTAAATCTTTGATGTTAAAGCTTAGATTTTTATTTACTATATTTAATTTACTTCACGTTATTGTAAGAAGGCAAGCAATCTTTTACAAATCGCAATGTTAATTTCAAATATGATTACTTTAACATCAAAATAACCCTTCCAACAAAAGGTATTTGTTTTAATAATACAATTTCAATTATTTCTATCTATATCTTTCAAATAGTAATATATGTCCCTGAAATAAACTTGAACTAATTATCCGTAACGGCAAAAGGACTGTTAGCACTTTTCATACATCAATAAAAATGTAAATAATTGACAGAAACTGATTTTTCTCTACAGATATATTTCGTGTCGAAGCTGTGTCTGTAAATGAATACCCAGATCATCACCATTTCCTGGTTAGCATTCGCCACAACACCCTGGCTTCGTCAGACAACATAGATATCACGTACATCTACCACTGGTGTCAGACAAATGCCAGCGATTACGACTGTAATGACAGAAAAATTATCAAGTGCTTAGTACGTATGGTTTATAATCAAATTCAATGAACAGTCCACCCAAAGTTGTTTTGTCGACACATTTAAATAATATTATTTTGTATCGTCTGTCGACAGTGACTTAACCGGAAATTCGAATTAAAAATGTGTGCATGCAAGTATATTTACATTTGCATGGCCTTGTCACTATATAGCCTCTTTGAAAGCTGTGTCGTTGATGGGACTTTAATTACCATGCA